GGCATCCCATGTTCATGGATTTTAAGACTTAATATTGTTAAGATCTCAGTTCTATATAAAGCAATCTACAGATTCAGTGCAATCCCTCTCAAAATCTCAATGACACGTTTTGCAAAAGTAGAAAAACTCATTCTGCAACTCCTGTGAAATCTTAAGGGACCCTGAATAGCCAAAACAATCTTGGGTTTAAAAAAAAAAAGGAGGAAAGCTGGAGGACTGACACTTCCTGATTTCATAACTTGCTACAAAGCTACAGTGAACAATGTGGTACTGGAATAAAGACAGATGTCTAGAACAGTGGAATAGAATAGAGGGCCCAGGAATAAACCCTTGCATACATGATCGAATGTTTTTGACAAGAGTTTCAAGACCATTCAATGGGAAAAGGACAATCTTTTTCCACAAATGGTGCTGGGAAAACTGGGGATCCACGTGTGAAAGAAGTTGGATCCTGATCTAACACTATATACAGGTTAGCCCCAAATATATCAAAGACTCAAATGTAAACCTAAAATTATAAAAATTCTTAAAAGAAACATAGGGCAAAAGCTTTACAACATTGGATCTAGTAATTTCTTGGGTATGACACCAAAAGCACAGATGACAAAAAATAGATACATTGAACTTCGTGAAAATTAAAGAGATTTGGGGCATTAAAAGACACTATCAACAGAGTAAAAAGGCAACCCACAGAATGGGAGAAAGTATTTACAAATCATATATCAGTGGCAAAATGTTAGATTATTTAATAAATTCATTTAAATTTATGTTTTTAGGTCTTTCTGTAGTTTCAATTTTATATCAAAATTTTAAATCTACCTGAAGTTTATTTTTGTCCATGTTGGAAAGGAAGCATCTTATTTATTTTTCGCAAGTGTTTATCCGTTTACTTTATTTTTACTCAGAAAAACCCACTAAGTTCTTACATACTTTATTTCTCTTAAGTTAATTAAAGTTGCAAGAAAATAGGAAAATGTAATGACTAATAAAAGGCAAGTTTTAAACACTGAATCTTCCAGTTAGAACCTAGAACATAATAGGGTAAAAATAGGGAAAGAAAGAATTTTAATTTGAAAGTATGAAGTCCCAATTAATACTGCAGCCTTTTTGAGTTTGTAGCATTGAATAGGTTTTGGTTATTATTTTTGTTGTCATTATCATTAGTAATTGTACCCTGAAATGTTTTTCTTGGATATGAATTGGGTCACATTTAGGGATATTTTAATATTGAGATTGGAATATAATACTTTTTATAGCTTATGTGTTGCTTGTATATACAACCATTTCCAGTTTCTTTCAAGAGTTACCTTCTCTGCCAAATTTTAATGTTCCATATTTTATATTATATCTTTCACTTATTCTTCCCCTTGTAAATCGTTCATCTCTTTTAAAAAGATTCTAGCCTTATGAGGAAAATGACACTTATTGCAGAATGGTCTTCATTAGCAAAGCACCCAAGTGGAAATTTTTGTTAATAGAATTTTAAATGGATAGTAAAGTTGTTGGAAAGAATTGCTTTTAAAATAAAGGTATAGCCAGAGATGAACTCCTTTCATGGTTCCTTCTGTGCTTTTAAAAAGACATATTTGGGAACTAATTCTTTATGTATGTATGAAAAAAAAAATTCAAGGACATCATTTTATTGAACGATGTACATTTTCCCTAACAAAGCAGTTTGAAGCACTTGAGTATTCAAGTATGTGTATTCCCATCCTAATCAAGCTCTCCTGAAACATTCGTAACTGCAAATCTAGCAAAGTCTAAAAGGAAATATGTTGTGTACTACAAAAGACACAATGTTGTTTCAATTTTAGCTAGACAGACATTTTCTAAAATTCTTTTCACTATAGTAATAGTACAATTCTAATTTAAAAGATACAGTATGTCATAAATGAAACCCCTATCAAATTAATAATAGTCAGGATTGATTTGCCCAGCTTACTGAAAAAAAAAACCTTAACAGTCCTTTAAAT